TTTTATCATCCACGTCCAATACTAAACTTCGAGTTCCTGCTGTGCGCCTGTGTTGCCCTCAGTTGCTACAAACGTTCCGCGCCTTTTGGCTGCCTGTGGTCTGCATGCAATTTTAACTCCGAGTTGCAGATATTTTTCGACTCTCGGGAGCCTTTTGACGTTCGAGAATGCCGGCCAACAGTTTCGGTAAATACGGTATGATCTGTAGCCTCGGCTTTGCATGGCCCTGTTGGCAAATTCACGCTGGTAGTCATTCGCGTCCAACGATTTTCGTAGTTACTGTGATCCGGCAACACTATTTTCCGGTAAACATTTCACTGTCCATCACTTCAGGAACATTCGGTGGCCAAAAGTAGGTCGAATCTTATTGTGTTGTCGTGCATGCAGTAGATCATCCCCAGCCGCCTGTTATAAGGGACCAGTGGTAACAGAGGGTTTAATCCTAACCCGTACTCATAACAAGCAAGGCTACGAATTAAGATCTTGCCCAAAAATAGTTTCGAGAATGAAGAAGAAGAAGAAGAAGAAGAAGAAGAAGAAAAGAAGAAGAAGAAGAAGAGGAAGAAGAAGAAGAAGAAGAAGAAGAAGAAGAAGAAGAAAAGGAGAAGAAGAAGAGACTTAGCCCTTCCCCGTTTATCGCAGCCAGAATAAAATGAAATGCTACTGATATCTTCTTATTGTCAGAGCATTTTCGCCTTTGAAAATCCTTCATACAGTATAACTGGGATTGTTAGAACGCTTCGTCGATCAGGCGTCTCAAATGTGATAAGGCACGCCGTTTTAAGTCCTAGAACCCTGATCAGAACAAATTTCTGAGAACCGTATAATACAAACTGGGCACGAACCGACGATCATTTGAACTCGTAAGGGTGAATGCAGAATGCATAAGCTGAGGATCCTCGGGCATACGTCGTGAAAAACAACCAGTGTATTCGGTGTAGAGACAATCCACAGGTTTGTTAGCACAGAGGTGACTTCACTGGACAGCAAGCCAAGAGGGCAATATGCGTTGATCCCGCCACGAATGTGCAGAACGCGGAACGCGACGTGCATTGACGTTCGTCAATTTCGCGACGGCCCACCAGCAATCTATAACTATAATAACTTTTCATAGAATTGTGTCTGTCAGAAGGCCTCAGTCCAGGACAGTTCTATTATCTAGGGCGCAGCCGAGATGGGTATGGCCCTTGAGTCAAAAACTGGGCGGCAAAAAGCAAAAAATGCCGCAGCGAATGCCATTCATGGCAAGAAAGAGAAATTGCCATAGGAAACCTTCTCCAACTGATGGAATTTGTTCGTTGTATTGTAGCTCCCTTTTAGGGTAAGTTGCGATGCCATGACTCTGTATATTTTTTTTGGTAGTGCGTTAACTGGTCCTCGATGTGGCACTTGCTATTAACCTGAAGCATTGTTTTGGAAGGTTATCGGTGACCAACGGTTTATGCCTCTGCCTAGTGGATATTCTACATGGGATTTTACGAAAGAAAATGCCCTACGCAATCCACTCTGGCAATCTCATGAAATGTTAATTGAGAGTCCGAGGTGTGTTTCCGATTAGGAGAGATTACTTAGGTAAGGTTGTGGTACTGATTATCGTATAGAATAGTCCTAGGATGTAAAGAAGGTGAACAAGCGATCTCTGGAATAGTAGGTGTATTAGTCTGAGCAACTAACGCGACTCAGATTCTCAACTACCATAGTAACCACCCAATGGCGCATAAACGCAGCTGTGTTAGGACACTTTTCCAAAGGATAAAAACGTACTGCAGTGAGCCAGAGGGACGAGTACGAGAACTACGACATCTTCGGAAACAACTGGCAAGGAGTGGATACCCGAGCAGCTTCGTCAGCCGCTGCCTCCGCACGCACCCACGGCGAACAAATGGAGGAGAGCCGCCAACACCCTGGCACCCTCTAACATATATAAAGAACGTGTTCAAATCGATGGAACGTATCGCTGGAGAGCTCGATGTGGGTATCGGTCATCGTCCGACAGCGACCATGCGCAACAAATCATGTAATTTAAGAACCGAATAGACGCAACAGAACAGTCGGGTGTCGTCTATCAGATTCCATGCCGGGACTGCCCTCGCCACTACACAGGACAGACCGGACGACGAATTACCCCACGAATAACGGAGCATAAACAGGCGGTCCGGAGAGGCGACCCGTTGTCTCAGGTCGCCACTCACAACTTGGAGGAAGGCCACGAATTCAACTTTGCGAGCACGCGGATAGTAGCGCGGGTCAGCAATAGGACAGGACGAGAACTGTTGGGGGCCTGGGTGTCTGAAACCCACTCTATCAACAGACACGTCGAAATACCCTACCCCCGCTGCTATCACGCACTCCGTTCCCGCGGCCAAGAGGCGAGACCCCGCCGTGAGACGATGGGGACTCAGCTTATCGTGGAAACCACCCACTGCACTCATATCCCCCCTTCATGGTTTGACCACAAAAACTGCTCATTTGATGCCGCATTCTCACAGTCTCTGACGATGGCCTCCTGTACGAGATCGAAAGCTCAGACTAATACACCTACTATTCCAGAGATCGTTTGTTCATCTTCTTTACAACAGGAACCTGGGATTCGCATATTCGCTTCCATTCGTAATCCTAAGACATTTCAGCCATAACGGGATGTCAGCGTTTGAATGATTTTCTTCCCGGCCACCTGTAGAAAGTGCGCTATGTAAAACTGATTACCTAAGTAGCACGTATTTTCTCGGTGATTTGCATTGCTCTTATAAATTTCGATATATTTTATGGAAAACAAGCTCAATGGCACAGTGCTTTGTACTTTTTAGGTAGAAAATTACGTCTTTTTATAATTTCTCCCTAGAAGAAAATAAGCCCTTCAGTTTTTGACGAATTTTCAATTATCGAATTGTTGAAAACGGCGATACGCATATTCAAATAACGTCGAAACTGTACATTTATTGCTGCACCTTATGGGGTATGCAACACAATTCACATCCATTGCATAATCTTGTGAGTCCATTACGTACATATGATATTCTCTTAATGGCAGATAGATATATGCCGTCTTCTTTACATGGTAAGTATGTAACCCGCGGACTGTGAAGCCTGAACGTAGATATGACGGTCGAGAGATTCAAAACCATTCAGAAGTTAACCAACTTTTTAAAACGTCATATACTCTTTGTACGACTAAAAAAGTCAAAGAAGAAGTCATTTTTAATCAAAGGAGTGCACAAAAAATTCTGTTATATTACGTTGCCACAAAATACATGTCAAAACCGGTGGAAAACAATCAAACTACTCAATTAATCAGTTTTCGACAAATATGCTTTTTGCTCACGGCTGAGAGGAGGCTAATTCAAAAACCGGCATTCTGGTGTAATTGAAATATTTCGAAATTACGCCGTATGGCAACCAATACCACAACCCCACTTACGTAATCCTTTCTAATCAAAAACGCGTTCCGGGATTTTGGTTAACATTTAATGAGGTTGGACACTAACTTTAAATTCATTCCCCGACAAATAAAGAGAAACGTGACAGGGGGAATCTTTTAATCGGTTTGGATAAAACTGTGTCTACCACCTTCTTTTCAGGGAAAGAGGGTGTGTATCTCCCACCGCTAGCCGTTGTGCTAAAACACGTAAATCAAAGAACATCGCTTGCCACACCCTGTAATTTTGCAATCCTGCTGTCTTCTATGAAATATTATATCTACATTAATAGTAGGCCACAGAATGACGAGAAAGACATTTTCGGCGGTCGTCATAGTTAAATGGTAAGGTAGTCTTCCCTGCAGTAAAGATAATTAGCACTTTCGTTCCTCATAAAATGATATTCCCTGATTGCTTTACCATTTCGTCTAAACGTAAGTTCATTTCCATTTTTAAACTGAAGATATCAGATATATTCTATTAAAGAGACTGCATGCTTATAAAACTAACTAATAGCTTCTTGTTTGTGTTATTTACTACTCTTTCAGATCTGCGAATTCGGTCTTATTTCCCGGTCAAATAAAGGGCATAAAAACATAGTGTGTTTTAGGATTTGATTCAGTACGACTTGTTTGATGAGAACCGTCAATGACAGGGTGGCGAGGAGTGGATTCATTACCTAAATATGGACATTATTTTTTTGTTTTTATTGCTTACTGTTGTTTCGGAGGCGCAGCGACGTAAGGACTGGCAAAATGGCTGTTTCGGCACCTCAAATTTCCGACCGCTGATTTGGACACCACCGTCTGTTCGTCAACACAATTCCTGGAGAAGCTTAAAGGAGTAAGCCTCTTGCCAAATAAGGTCATGATATCTTCTGATGTCACGTCCCTCTTTACTTCTATCCCCCAGGATCTGCAACTCGAGACCGTTGAGTTGCTCCTACGAAGCAAATACGATGAAACAGCGAATCGCCGCGGACATGCCCCAGTCCTTCAGCTCCTAAAGTTCTGTCTCAGGACGTACTTCACGTTTGAAGGAACAATCTACGAGCAAGTGAAGGGAACACCAATGGGCTCGCCGATTTCGGGATTCATCGCCAAGGCGGTCCTACAGCGGTTGGAGTCGCTGGTCTTCCAACAACACAGACCGAAATTCTGGGCTCCGTATGTGGTCGATACCTTCGTCGTCATCGAACGTTAAAATAACGTCTCAACAGCGTCTTCCCGGGCATAAAATTTACGATGGAGGAGGAAGAAAATAACCAGCTGGCATTCCTTGATGTCCCCGTCTGTCGCAAAGATTGTGGTGGCCTAAAGACCAAAGTGTTCAGAAAAGCGACGAGCACGACGCAAATACAGAACTTCAACAGTAACCACACAATCAGCCACAAGCGCAGTTGCCTAAGAACGCTATATCGGCGTGTTGAGACGCACTGCAGTGAACCGGAGGACAGGGTTGCCGAATCCCAATATCTTCGACGGGTTTTCAGGGTGAATGGTTACCCGCGCAACTTCGTCAACCGGTGTATGCGCAAACGAGACGAACGACAAAACCGTGCAGATCCCAAATTCTGGCGAGCGATCCCGTACATTAAGAACGTCTCCGAGGCCGTTAGCCGCCTTCTCGCGCCAGTTGGGGTTGGAGTTGCACACAGACCGGAGGCAACCATGAGGCGTCAGGTGATGAGACCAAAAGACCCACTGCCACAGCAAGAAACATCTGGAGTCGTTTACTGGATCTGGTGCGGTCGCGGGCAAAGCAACCACGCCGGAGGAACTGGAAGACTGCTCCGGATGCGAATTGCCGAATACGCGACAGCGGTGCGAAGAAATGATACCAACTCTCAGGTCGCGGCCCATTCGACGAGACCCGGCCACACATTCAAGTTAGATGAGGTCGAAATTCTCGCGAGAAGAGAAAATCGCGTGAACCGTGAGTTTTTTAAGTCATGGTTCACGGGACCTCAGTCTGTCAGCAAGTGCAACGACATCCCCACTCCATATTCTGTGCTGAGGCATAGTCTGCCGGAAGTAATTAATCACTGGGAGAGCCCGAAGGCTGGTGAGCCAGATGGCCGAGCAATCATCACGCCAGCATCCAACACGGGTGATGAAATTTCAGGAATTAACGACTTGCTTGCCGGCCATCAAGAAATTAGTGCACCATTGGGCAACAATTCTTGATGAAGGGGAACGCAGTTAATTACTATAGATATGCGGTATCATAGCGACTACATCCTATAAATACTGCAACTTCCTGTGCGCGAGTCATCCATTTCTATCACTTTCTTTGATGATGGGTTCAGGTTAGAATCCGAAACATCAGACGAATAAAGCCCTTGGTCCAGCGATCGCATCTTTCTCTTCTTCTTATCACGCGAAGAAGTGTTGACACAGTAGGTGGCCTTATAATTCTGAGACTGACATTTTCTGACCATTTTTACAGTTCGCTGGTGTGCAAGACAACTTGTTAAAAAAATATTGGCAGCGAGGAATTGCCACTTTGTGCTCTCGCATGGAAAAAACCGGATCGGTCCGCATAAACCTGTGGGAATGTTTCCTAAAAAACAGTTTGTCTTGTTACTTCGGGACAGACTGTCGTGGCAACCTCACTGACTCCACTAACTCTCTCTCTCTCTGGGAAGCCGAAAAGTGGCACAGAGGGCGAAAAGCCCTGACTGTTTTTTGCACCTGTGCGAGCCTTTTTTTGCTGACTATCGGGAGAGCCATGAAGTCGTTAACGCTGCGTCTAACTTGTTTCCAAGAGACACCTTTTTTCCAATTAGCGTCAGCTGCGCAGTCCGCATGTGCGATTCTTTTCACTTTTGACAGCTTCATTGTGTAAACTGGCTGAAAATGCCGCCCTCTGCCAGCTGTTGATGAGAATACAGTAAACAACCAACATCTTTTCTGCTTAGAGGACTTGGACGTATACATGTGTAAAAGGAGGAGCTGAGGCGTAACTTAAATTGGCGAACCAGATTAGGATGATCGCCTCTAAGTCACTTACAAACTATTTGGCAGGCATATCCAATCCCATGTCGGAAGGGCTCTGTGTTTTAACTCACGTCGAAGTAGTGTTCATTTATCTGCACCAACGGCATGACTGAATACGGTGGTTCGGTTTCTCGATCGCAGCCTACAGGACTCGAACAGCTGTTGTGGGTAATATTCTAGGTCAGTTTGAGTGGCGAAACTTTTGACTAAGTCACAGAATGCCTGCCTTGAATTCGGTGCATATCATAAAGACTGGGAAAATAATCAGAAGCTGTCTGTTGAATTTTTCAATCTCTAAACGTTCATGCCTTGGTGTTTGCCGCAGTGTCTTGACTGGCTCTCGGGGCAAAACAGTCTGTCTGCGTATGGTATTAGAACCACGGTTTATTCGCCTTTTACGGAGACCTCATCATTATTTTGATTTAAGTCATGAGATACCGCATGCAGCGTTTGTACAGAAATTACACAGAAGTCATTGCCATTCAGAATGCTACGGACAACCTTGACCACCCCATGCGGCAGTTGTTTTTGGACATGGCAGAATGTGGAATAAACGGACAGATAAATCCAGTAATCACTGATCACCCGAAACTCGCTTCAGAGCTCTGCCATTTGAGTAAGTAGGTAGTTAACTGTCAATTGAGTCTGCGAGAACTCTTCGCTGGCTTGCAAAACTAACCTCCTCCACATAAAAATTTTACTATTTTAAGATGACATCTATTGTAGTCCATGAATTAGTAAATATCCAAGTCAAAATTTTCCGTTCAAGTGCGAGGACTGGTAAGGATTCGGACGTGTTTTTTGCCTGAACGGAGCATCCAATATCTGTCGGATGTCTCGTGATAGAAGGGCGGTGAATTCTCGCTTCTGGTTTTAGGGGTCATTTAACAAGTGTTCAACTGGCCTGCATGCCAGCTGACTAAGCGGCCTTCAAATTCTAAGGTCACAATTGTCCTTTTCCGCACATTCTGGGTAGCGGAGACTGTTGATGAGAAGCGGACACTCGCTCGTATAAGAAGGGTCTGGACACTGCGTTACATGGAAGGAATGTCTGACTTGTGCAAACAACTATACCATATGGTAAATCTGGTCTTGTGCTTTTAGACTCTGATCATTTTGACTCACTCGCTGTTTTTGCATTGCAATTTTTGTCTCGTATTTTCTTCAGCCTGTTTCTTGGAAGATTTCTCTATTATAGTAAAAGAACAAGCTCACCGGACCACGGTTAACGTGATGCCAACGTTTGAGAGTCTGAGAGGCTCACCACTGCCAAAGTGTTTGATGCAGAAAATCGACCAGAATTTTTACTGACAGGCCAAGTTAGTCTGCTCATACGCTGACCCATTTTTTCCTCATTCGCCAATCTGGCATTTGGCAGATGAGCGAGCTAGACGGTCGATTACCTTGCAAGTCGACACCTTGATGGATGATGGTTGAAGGTCTACTCCCTCCTCCTTCTCCCTCTTCAGGTGAATTCAATATCAGGTCGCGTCTCCTCGATTTTCTTGTCCTAGTCTTTGTGTATATAGTGACGAAGGGCTTTGTGAGCTGCAGGAAGGTCAAGGTGTCCTTTGGTGGACTTGGCATTTGAATACTGCGCCTCAAGTATAAGCCGTTCCGTCCTTGAGGTGTCCCGGCCTAAGAGGATATCAAGCAACAGTCCCAAATGCCAGACGTCTGCTGAATTGCGGGGACAGCGAAAAAAGAAAAAAATCGATCGGCCCAGGGCTGGCTAACTCCGTTTGCCATTCCATATTCTGATCGATTTTCTGCTCTTTCTCTCTCTCAAATTATCCCCTCGGAACCCCCACCTTTGTGGACCTGATTTCTTTATCGATTAGACTTCCTGTTCTGGGCTCTGAATCTGTCGTTATCATATCGATTTTTGGGCAAATTTATCATCATGCGTGTTATTAAACGGCAGGAAGCAATTGACGCCCGTGTACTGCTCTCTACTAATCCCATCGTATAAGAATAGAATATAGACAAACTGCCAACCCAGACCACGTCGGTGAGTATTTACTCCTTCATCTGCTCCTGTGGGGCAGAATATGCCGGTCGCTTGAGCCGGCGTCTGACCAAAAGCATAAGAGCACGTCTTCCAGTTTGGCTAGGAAAGGGTCGAATGAAGAACATTAACGCCCCTATCCTCGCACACATGTTAGACGCAGACTAACGTGTAGGTGACAGAAGAGCCTACCGAGTGATTTACAAGGCTCCAAATAGCTATCCAAAACTACTTTGATTCACCATTTCGAAGGCTTCCGTCAGATATACGAAATTAGAGTACAGATGGGTCCGAATTCCCTGGCACTTCTTCTGGTGTTAGCGGGCGACAAAGATCATGTCCGTTGTCCCACGGTGACGGCGGACAACCTTGTTGCAGGTGATTATTCAGGCGGTTAAGGATGCGACCGAAAATTTTCCTGACGATATCCAGCGAAGAGATGTCCCGGTGGGTGTCGCAGAGCTGGCGGTCACCTTTCAGCTTGCATAGATGGCCTGATTGTGGCGCCTTTAAAATCTTGCGGGGCTTCTCCTTGACGCCACATCTGGAAGAGCGCCGTCAGATGATGCATGAGCTGGGGGCCGCCGTGCTTGTAGATCTCAGCGAGGATTACGTCCGATCCGGGAGCTTTCCCGCTGGAGAGCTGCTGCACGGCCCTGATAGTTTCGTGGAGGGCGAGAGGTCGACATTGGTCTCCACTTGCGGTAGACGGGTGATGGCGGCGTCAGATGGTGTAGGGACTGAGGACACCTCTGCAGTGCTCGGCCCATCGCTGTAGAATTTGCTTTCTCAGTGAGTACGGTACTGCCGTCAGCTCTGAGCGGGGGTGCAGTACCTTTTGGCAGACATACAGTAAACATGGTAACTGCACCAAGAGTACTGCGACACTCGTTCAGAGCATTACCACTTAACCGACAGGTCAACGGGCTCGTGGCCCAATGGTTAGAGGCGAGGCCTCGCGTGTGCCACACTTCAGGGTCGGGTATGACTGGCTGACGACAGCTAATAAGCCAGAAATAGCCATTCGAGTCTCCTTTGTTTTTGTCGGTAATGATATTAACTAGTTCTCTCTGATGACGAACCCGATTGCGGGTGCGAAAAGTCAGGCGAGTAACCCTTGACCCAGCGACCGCGCCTCCCCTTCCCGATATCGTCCCATAACTCGCACTTTCGCTTGCACTGACATCTCGTTGATT